CCCCAGCCCTTTTTTATATTTTATATAGAGTCAGGCTAAATTGCTTCAGGACCTGGCTAAGTTGCTGAGGCTGGCTTTGAACTCTCATCCTCCTATCTCAGCCTCCAGAGGCGCTAGGATTACAGGTGAGCACCACCATGCCCAGCATGTCAGGGAAATTTGACTTAATATGTCCTTTCTGTTAAAAGGTCACCAAGAGTCCATAGGATTAAGTCACCTCAGAGAAGGGTCCCTAGTATGAGCTCTTGCTTGCCACTGTCTTTAAAAAAATTTTTTTAAATATTTCCATAAACCCCTCTCTTAAAAAAAATGTTAATTTTTTCAATCCTCCACAATTCCTTAAGGTATTGTTAGTTCTATTCCCTTTTTGCAGYTAAGACACAGAGGAGTTTAAAAAAAAACACAAAACAAAACCTGCCCAAGTTCACACAGGTGGTCATTGGTAGAGGTCTGTTCACAAGCCAGGCAGCCTGGTCTCAGGGTCTGAGGTCTTTGACCAAGTGGCAGGTCACCTGGCTTAGTCCAACCAGAATTTTGATATTGATTTCTCAACAGTCAGCTAGATACCCGGGTCCTCCAGGGGCTCCACTTTGAGGGAACAGATTCTGAATACTTCTGAGCAGATTGCAGTCATCRCGTGATTCAAATTCATTTGGCCAAACATTTTCTCATGTGGTCAGCCCAGAGCTAAAAATATTAAGGTGAGTAAGAGAAAAATCCCTGCCCTTGAGGACTTCTGAGATTCCTGAAATTCCACACCTCAGGATGCCTTCCTTAGTAATGGATTGTTTCCTGCCACAAGGGCACTTTAAATGAGGAGCCTYCATTTGCCTAACCAGCTACAGCAAGATGCCCCCAACCACAGGCTCCAGGTGGCACCCTGTGGCATTTGAGCACRGGCTGTCATTTTACTGCAGCCAGCATGGGCCTGAGGTCATCTCGGTTAAGAATAAACCAATATTTGCTCTTGATTTTGAAAAAGGGAGGGGATTAACCCTGCCTGTCCCCAACGAGCTGAGAGAGCAGAAYTTAGGAGAGGTGACTTTTCCATGAAAGCCTGGCTCATGTTTTATGTATTTCTAAAGAGCCACAATTTGAACTTAATTCTTCCTCCCTTTAAGACAAGAACCCCAAAGTTAGTATTTAAAATGTCACATGCAGCCAGAGGCCTCAGGAGGTCACAGAGGGCCRGACAACTCATACTGGGAAGTAATAAAATTGACATCGAATGACTTCAAGACCCAGCAAGTTGCCCTAAGAGTTCAAGAATAGAAAATCTGTAACTAAACCATGCATAAATCTTAGGAAAGTTGATAGCAGAGCTTAAAAAAAAGGAAAGCCAGTCAACAGCCTGTTTAATCTTTGARTCCACATTATGAGGGTTGGTTAAAGGAAGTGACCTTTAGGTTGGCAGTGAATAATGGACGTGGAGTGGGCACCTCACCAAGGTTGCTTCATTTAAAGCAGTATTCTTATTTGCCAACAGAGTCGGAGAGAGGGAGTGATCTTCCTGGGGACATAGAGCTGGAAAGTGGCAACTCTAGGATTTGAATCCAATTCTGCCCAGATTAATAGGTCAGTAATAGATCTTAATAGATCAATGCAGGACATGCAGAAAACACTACATCCACGCTGGCTTTTAAAAATTATTATTATTATTATTATTATTGTTGTTATTATCATTATTATTATTATATTTCAAAGTATAAAGATAGGCCCAGGTTGCTTTTTTGTGGCCTCAGCGTGATCTTTTCAAAGATTCTGAAAGTTACCTCAGTTATTCTGGAAATTCAAATAGCTGTGTCACCAAAAGTGGATCATGGTGACAACCATTTTTATCATTGAAATGAGTCTGCACTGAGCATCCTGGTAAAGCATCCTGTGCTGTGTGCTAGTATCCTGTAGGACTGATTCTACAAACAGGATTCCTAGGCTGAAAGGTGGGCCCATTTAAAGTTTTGATAATGCCGGGAAGCCCTCCCTAAGGTGTTTACACTTGCACCAACCACACCCGGGAGTCTTCATTTCCCCTCATCTTCCTTAGTATAGATATACCAATCTTTGAATTTTATACCAGATAGGTGAAAATATCTATTATATAATTTATGCTTCTTCAATTATTAATGGAGCTGAACATCATTTTGTATATTTCGTTGCATGTAAATCTATATTTTTCTGTATTTCTTCTTCCGAGAATTCTCCTTTCATATCATCTGCACATGTTTTATCGAGTCCTTGTCCTTTTCTTATTAATGTGTAAGCATARCTAATACCTTATGGACACTAACCCTTGATCTATTACATAGGTTACAGATGTTTTCTCCTTGTGGGTCTTGGGTCCTTTATCTTTGTTGTTTGTTTATTTAACCAAGTAGAGTTTCCAATTTGGGGCATGGCTGTCAATCCTTTTCTTTCTGACTTGTGGGCTTCATGTCATGTTTTGAAAGGCTTTCCTGACCCTCTAATTAAGCAAATATTTTTCTACATGGCAGTTTTGAAATTTGGCCTTCACATTTATATCTTTAATCATCTAGAATTTATCTCATTTGTAACCTGAAGAAAGACCTCAGGGTATTTCTTTTCAAAAGCCAGTGGTCCCAGCCACTTTTTTTTAATATTTATTTCTTAGTTGTAATTGGACACAATGCCTTTATTTGTTTATTTTTACGTGGTGCTGAGGATCRAACCCGGTGCCTTCCACTASGAGGTGAGCACTCTACCTCTRAGTCCCAGCCCCAGTTCCAGCCTCCTCGCTGAAACTTCGCCCTTCACCACTCTTAAGATTTCTCTTTTTGTCGCACCCTGAAATTCCACATGTGCCCGCATCTGTTTCTACATTCCCCTGACCCAGTGGATTCTCAAACTCAGCTGCACATGAGAATCGCCTGGGTGACTGTGACTCTGCGTGTCGGGGTGATTCTGTCATCCAGACTGATGACATCAGAATCTCTGGAGCGTGGCCCAGAGGACAGTGCRTTTCACTCCTCGAGTTGCAGATCTGTCACTCCGAGGCGATGGTTCTCCACCTTGATGTCCCCAAATTACCTGGGGAACATGACCACCAGACAAACCCCAGACCCTCTTCTCTGTCTTCCCTAGTTGCCTTTCAGTGATTTTGACACCCCAATGTCTGATAGCCACTGGTCGATCTTCTGGAAGCTTCTTAACAGCYACACAGGCAACCGACTACAGCCAAATCTGGGCCAGGATCCTTGGCCAAGGCGGCGGCCCCTCCAGAAGGCCTGGGTCCTGCTGGGCTGGTGGGCTGAGCCTGGCCTACACGGGATCTTTTTTTCCCAGGCGGGAGCTCAAGGAAAGTCCCTTGGGGTCACCATCTGCTGAACCTGGCTTCCTAAGGGAGGCCCGCCCGGGCACTTGCAGCAGCCTGAGACTGTCCAGGCCACGGCGGGTGACGGAGGAGGATCCCAGTGGAAACCCGGGACTTGGAAACGCTGTTCCCGTGTGGTGTGGGATTCTGCACTGCGGATCRTTTCTCCCTGTAACCAAACCTGCTTATTACCAGCCCTCCAATTAGTTCCTTCTGAGGTTGATCAATTTAGCGTGGAGGTTGAGCATGTCTGTGAATTGACTCCACAATCATACACAAGAGGGCACAGAAAGCAGGGCCACTCGGCGTCGTTTTGTTCTGCTTTGTTCTGTTCCGTTTAAGCATCGACACCCCCAAAGCAATTCTTTTTCATGTTTTCTACACAAATCATCTACTTCAGCCCCGTCTTTGATCATGCGCTCCCCCAGAGCAGCTCGCTCCGTCCCCTCCCAGCCCTTTACTGCCTGGCGGAACCCTGGCCCCCGCAGGCAGGAGGCTCTCAACCTGAGCACACATGGGAAACCACCTAGGGAGCTCTATAAAGCTCCTGAAGCCCCAGCCCAATTAACAGGGCCCCTCTGGGCGGGGCCCCGCATGGGGAGCCCTGAAAACCCTGACACTCAAGTGCAGCTGAGGGTGGGACCCACAGAATTCTAAGCCAGGCCCAAATACCACTGTTCTGGGAAGCAACCTCTAATTTTTTTCTGCTCCTGCTGGAACATTCACACGTATCATGATTCTTCTCTTGTCAATAAAAGTGTTACCTTTATTTGTTCATTTGGGGAGAGGAAGTATAGGTAGCACTTCACAGGGACAAAAGGGGAGAAGAGGAGAAACCTCCCTCCCACCCTTCCTCCCTCAGTGACCCTTCCTGGAGGGAGTCTCTGCAGCATGCAGGTCCCCTCCTCTGCTCTCGAGAGCACTGTGACCCAAGGACCCTGCAGGAGGTCGAGGTCACAGAGGCCCAGTTTGAATCCTGCTTCTGTCATGGGTTTCCCATGTGAGGATGGACTAGTCATGTCACCTCTCCAGTCCTGTCTCCTTACAGAGATGGTAAGGTCTCCTCAAAGGAGGGCCTCTACCTTACAGAGAGGATACTCCCTGGGGTCTCCCATTGCAATCTAGCAAGCCACCCCAACACATAATGGCTTATAAAAGCAGCCATTTGTTTGTTCACAGTTTTGTGACTTGGGGATTCAGGCCTGGGAGGTTGTGGTCCAGGAGATGCCTCTTTGGAGTTCAGTTCCTGACTGGACTTTCCAGTCCAGCCCAATTCTGTACATGTGACTGACACATTGGGGTTCCTCTCTGTGGCCTCTCTCCTGGGGAGAAGCTCAGGCTTCCTCACAACATGGTCTCTGATGGTCCAAGTGAACAGCCCTCACAGCTGGACGTGAGCATGCGACCTGTCTGTCAAAGCCCAGTCAGTCCAGAATCAAGGGGAAGAGAAATACACACTTCCTCCTAATGAGAAAGTGACGTGGTCACACACACTGCACAGAGCACGTGGGACRGGATACTGTCATAGGTATCTTTGGAAGCACATTCCACCACAAAAGGAGTGAAGACAGTGTCCAGCGCACGGCAGCTGTCCAACTTATGTTAGTTCCCATTTTCTTCTCAGCACATGATTCCCTTGACTTCTTATTGTAGCTCCATGTTTATGGATGTCTTATAAGTCCGTCCCTCAGTGMCAGTTTGTGCTGCTGTAATAGAATRTCRCAGATTGGATGCTTGTAAAGAATAGAAATCTGTGTGGCTCACAGTTCTGGAGGCCTGGAAGTCCAAGATGGAAAGACTGCCTCTGGTGAGGGCCTTCCTGCTGCATCAAGACATGGTGGAAGGCATCACCTAGGCAAGAGAGAACAAGAGAGGGCAAGAGGGGGCAAAAGGGGGCAAGACGGGGCAGAATTTGCTATTATAACAAAACTACCTGCATATTAATTCATCCATGAGGGCAGAGCCCTCAGGACCTAAATGCCTCCCATTTGGCCCCACCTCCAACTGGAGGTGCACTGGGTGCACATGGATGAATTTGGGGGGGGGATTCATTCAAACCACAGCATTGGCCAAGAGCCTGTCCAGTGAACCCCAGTAAAAAATCTCAGAGGTGGCCATGAGGCAAACGTGCTGAATTCCTAAACTGCCAAGCTTGAGATTCTTCCTCTCTGACCTCTACTCTGACCCTCCCAGAGGTCACTGTGGACTGCTGTGTCCACAACCTGAAATCTCCTCCTTCTCTCTTGTTATCACATTGTCTCCCCGTCTTAATTCTCTGTGTTTGCTATTAATRAGCCACTCAGATATCACCGTGTGCCCTAAGCCTTCCTCAGGATCCCAGGCAGGAAGACAGAGCACTGCCTTGGAGCACAGCCTGGGTGACCAGGGACATTCCCAGGCACTCGGTATGAACAGGGTGGGGAGAGGCAGAGGGCTCCAGGGGACAGCAGGAGTAGAGGCAGGACAGGTGAGAAAAGGATAACAGGACTCCCCCCAGGATGGACCACAGAGGGAGCAAGAAGGATTCCCAGACCAGACCAAGCAAGGTGTCAATGTCCTGGAATGAATGGATGCTCCATCCGCCAGACAAAAGATGGCCATTACAGTCATTTTTAGGAGAGGAGAGTCCTAGTTAGATAGGCAGCTTTGTGCACTGAGAGCAGAGAATAGGTTTCACAATGCAACAGCTTGGTACTTGGAGTTCTGAAACCCAGACAAGTAAAGCAAGTCCATGCACCCAAATCCCCCTTCCTGTTGAGGAGAAGGAAACTGAGACCTGAGAGGGGAAGGGGATTGCCCCACTGTGGGGACCACGGGCCCCTGGATTCCAGAGAATAAGTCTGATAGAAGTGCGTCTGACATTGAGAGATGTCTCAGCAGCAGAGGGGGTGATGATTGATAGGTCTGATGAATGCATCCCCATTATTATTGAAATTTATACATGTACCACCCGATCAAAGAATCTCAGTGTTGGAGTCTCATTCAGTATTCACAGCTGTTGTTTTTCAACGGGGAATCTGAGAGTCTGGCCCCTAGAATGATAGAGCTAAAATCTGGGGGCACCTTCCATAAAGCCTCCATTTGGAAATGACTCTCTGCTATTAATTTGCATGAGACCTGGGCAAGGTGTCTGCCTCTGAGCCATATTCTAAGCGGGGAACCAGGTCACAGACGAGGTGACCCAGCTCAGACCCTCTCACAGCTGAGCGGGCCCAGGTCCCTTTGACTGTTCACTCAGTCGTTCATTTGTTAACAGATACTTTGGAACGTCACCATTTGCCAGGGGCTGGGGCTGGTGCCAGGGCTGTAGCAGAATCGCAGTCAGCAGGACCCCGCTCTCCTGTGGCTTACTGTCTGTCATACCCAGCAGACAGGCCATAAAAGAAACAAGTAAACAACAAAATAAAAATAAACACGGCTTGTAAGAAGGGACAGGGTGCTATGAGAAGCACCCAGAGGGCAGCGGTTTGATTTAAGGAGGTCGTTTATTGAGAGCCTTGAGCCCGAGGTCATGCTGGGCACCAGCCTTGCTTGATAGAGTGATCCAAAATGCAAAGGCCAAGTGACCCAAAGCTGRCCCAGCAGCAGGCTGGCATGCATGCTAACCACCCGGCTGTCCTGGGGCTTTGTCTCCACAAACTTAGATGCGAATTCTCCAATGTCCTCACTCYGTTGCTTCCTAGGGGTGGAGCCTGAGACAAGGCCCCCTCTGGGCCTCGTTTTCCTGGTGTGTGTGATGGTAACAGCGGGACCCTTCCCACCCGGTCCATCCCACCTGCAAGGATTGGCTGAGTTAGGAGGTGCCACCATGTGTGGCATGAGTCTTGGCTATTGATACTCCCCCACAGCCCAGGTGGGGTCCCACTGACGCAGGAATTGAGRGACTGTGGTGTAGACTTGGCTGAGGGACAAGGGTTTCCCCTGGGGCCTACCTTGCTTTCGGGTCCCCAGAAGTTCACAGGCAAAGATTTACAGGCAAGTGGTTTCCTAGAGGTGAGGGGGACTCCGTAGGGAGTGGGGGGGTGAGAGGGAGGGGCCGCCTACCAAGGGTGGGAGTGCGTCAAGCCCACGGGCACCGAGGGTACCTGGAGCACCCAGCCCCCAGATATCCATGGAAGGGCAAGGGCCCTGGGCACGGACACACCAGCTCCCCTCGGTCACCCCCCAAAGGCCCTGGTGCTGGTACATGGAGGGCTTCGTTGTCAGCGAGGCCACCCTCCTTCCTGGCAGCCTCAGAAGTCCTCAGACAAGTGACGCAGGTTCCAGAAGCCGGGCAGAGACACTGCCRTGGCCCTCAGATGAGCTCAGGGGGTCCCCAAACAGAGCTGTGGCCTGCGAGACACTGTCGGGCCAGCATGGGGCCCGAGGGCTCTGGCCTCCGGGGAGCAAGGAGGAGAGGGAAGGCCAGGCCGTCCGGTCCCTGGGGGTCTGGGGGTGCTGAGGGATTCGGGTTTCGCTCTGCAGTTTTGTGGCAGTAGGCAGTCCTGCAGGTGTCTGAGAAGGGACAGATACAAAACAGTGTCATCACTGAGCGGCAGGTCTACCCCAGGCCCAGGTGTCCTTGGAATCTGCCCAGCCTGACCCTGGGGTCCTCACTCCATGGCCCAGAACCTGACAAAAGGGTGGRCCAACCAGGAGGTTTCCTAAAGGCACAAACTCTAAGGACAGCTTAGAAAGAATATGCTAGAGACCACGTGGCCAGGGAGTGGCACCTCAGGGACATTCTCCAGAAGCAGCAGGATCCTGCACTTCCTCTACCAACAATGGTGATGGTGACTGAGGAGTCAGACCCAGGCCAGAGCTGAGTCCTCTCTACGAGAGGCCAAGGCTTCCCCTTGCCCAGCCCCCCTCTGAGCATAGGTCAAGCAACTACTGAAGACTGTAGGTTGAAGGTGAGCTTACCCTGCCACCGTTCCCGAGCATTCCCCCATCTCAGCCATCCCCTGGCTCTGCCACAAGGGACAAACTGTGGATGGGGGGACAGTGAGAGCCGCTGTCCCTTTGTGCACTAGAGGCACCAATGTGGCGCGGTGGCTGTGTCAGTTCCCATTGGGTTCCCTCTGTCCTCTGCAGGACGAAGAGGCCCATCTCCTTTACCAGAGGAGAGCACCAGAGCTGGGATTTTACCTGGGGGCTCTGAATATGCTGGATTAAGGAATTCAGACTTTTCAAAGTCCCCTGCTTGAGTGTCGAGATCCATCTGCCCGGGGAGAGGCCGGCGTTTTCATCAGACTGGTCTAGGGGAAGGAGGGAAGGAAACGGCCAGAAGTAGACACCTCTGAGCGTTGGCAGCACCACAATTTATAGATGAGACTCCAAACTGGGAGGAAAGGAAGTCGGAGCAGACACATCAGAAGGGAATAGAATACTCAGTGTTGACACGTAAACCACCTGGCGGTCCCCAAAGACACAGAAGAAAACACAGAGTGGCAGAGCTGCTCCCAACAGCTGCATTTAGCCGACAGAGGTAAATTGAGCTAGGGACAGGTGACAGGACCAGAGCCAGCTGGAACAGGAGTGGCCTTGTGTTCTGGACACCTGACAGAGCGTCCAGCCACGGCCAGTGGGGGCTGAGCTCTACAGTCTGCATGTGTGGGCATGAGTGTGTGTGCACACGTGTGTGTGTGCCTGTGCCCACTTGTGTATGTGTGCATGTTATAAAGGCACATGTGTGAGTTGCTAGACATTCAGCGAATGTGTACCTTGTGAGTACATGAGTGTGAATGCCATGTGAACATGTGTGCCTTTGTGCAATTGCATGCATATGTGTGTGCCTGTGTGTTTGGAGATCTGCTCTAACATCAGTCTTGCCTGCTCTTGCCATCGTGAGTGGCAAATCAGTGCAGGGCAGCTAAACGTCATGTCTTAAAACGTGGGCAGCATGGACTATGTACTGACAGCTGAGAGTCAAGCCTACAAACCCGGGCTCTTGCCCAGGTCGCTCATTGTTTGACTCTTAAAAGACATAAAGAGTTTAGGATCCACCTTTGAAACCAGGCTCCATGGCACACGCCTGTAATCCCRGCGGCAAGGAGGCTGAGRCAGGAGGATCTCAAGTTCAAAGCCAACCTCAACAACAGTGAGAAATTAAGCAACTCAGTGAGGCCTTGTCTCTAAATAAAATGCAAAAGGGGGCTGGGATGTGACTCAGTGGTTAAGAAAAAGAAAACAGGGCTCCAGGTTTTGCCAGGAGAACAGCATGTGCCTCCCTCTCCTTCCTGCTTTGGTGACTCTGCTCCTGGCTCAAGCCCAGCTCCCTGCCTCATTCAGCCGCGTACCCTCGCTGCAGCTCGGCGATCCATCCTCCCTGCAGGGACCTTGGCCCAGGTGTTCTTCCCACACGAAGAACCTCCTCTTCTGCGCCCTGTGTCCCACCTACGTGTCACCTCCCTCCTTTCTTGGTTTACGTGTCCCCTCCTGGAAGCTGTCCCTACTCACTCATAGTTTATTTTTCTTCTTTCTTTTTCAGCAACTTTATTGAAATATGATTTACATACTAAACAGTTCTACGTTAAGTGTTCACTTCAGTGATTTTTTGATAAATTCCCAGGTTGTGCTACCATCACCCCAATTAATATGAGAAGGTTTTTCACTCCCCCAAAAAAGAAAATCCATGACCATTAACAGTCACCACCATCCGCTAACCCCTAACCTACTCTGTCTCTGTAGAGTGACTTATTCTGGAGCATTCACATAAGTGGAATCATACATTACATGGCTTTTTGTGACTGGCTTCCTTCATTTAGAATAAAGAGCAAAGCTGTCCATCTTGCAGCAGGTATCGGCACTCTATCTTTTTCAYTGCCAAATAACATTTCATCCTATTGATGTTTTTATCCCTGTCAAATTCATATTTGGGTTGTTTTCATCCACTTTTTGGCTATTGTAAGTAATGCCACTATAAACATTGGTTTAAGTTTTTGTGTAGACGTATGATTTTATTTCTCTTGGGCATGCACCCAGGCAGGGAATTTCTGGGTCAGATGGTGACAGTAGGATTAACTCTTTGACGAACTACCAAACTCTTCCCAATTGGCATCGCACGAGAGCGTCAGCTTCTCCATCCTCTCCACATTCTGTCTTCTTGATGGCAGCCAGCATCCTGAGYGTGAAGAGGTGTCTCCTTGGGTGTGGATTTGCATCTCTATGATGGCTAGTGATGCTCAGGATCTTTTGTGTGCCTCTTGGCCATTTGTATATCTTCTTCAGAGTTGTGTCTATTCATAGTGCTTTGCCCATTTTTTTTTACACTAATTTGTCTTTTTGTTGTTGAGTTGTGGACATTCTTAATGTATTGCTGAATACTAGACTCTATCAGATAAACAATTTGCAAATATTTTCTCTCTRTGGGTGGTCTTTTCACTTCCTCGATGATACAAAACATTTCATTTTGATGACATCCAATATATGTATTCTTTTTGTCATTTTTGCTTTAGGTGTCATACCCTAGAAGCCATTATCTAACTCAAGGTCACAAAAAATATATTCCTATGCCTTCTTCTAAAAGCTTTGTAGATTTTGCTGTTATATTTAGGTTTATGATCCTTTTTGAGCAGGAAGCAAATATTTATTGAGCAGCTACTGTGTGCTGGGCACTGCTCCAGGTCTGGGTGTGTGCACCTCAATACACTAATGGACAAAGTGGGTGACCTGTCTGTCCTTGAAGAGTGACACCCCAGTGGARGAAAACAGGGAAACAGCCAAATGGGTAATCTGAGCTAGCACTGGAGCTAAGGACTGCAACCATGTTCAGAAAGCTGGTAGTTTTGTGTGGCACGCTCTGGAACAAATGTTATGGGTGGTGGGGGGACACAAGGTCACATACTGGCTAAAGGGACTTCTTCAATCAACCTGGGTTACTTATTATAATTAATTATGGTAATATTTGATTTAATGAATAATTATGATGTTTCTGGGCAATCACTATTAGTATAATTAATATCATCATTAATAGTATAATTAATATCATCATTACTTATCTCAGTTTACTGTGAGATGATACCAGTCCCCACTCCTGGGCCCTGGGCAGACATGATCAATCAATCAGGATGCTCTCACCCCCTAAGCCCCTTGGTGTCCTCAGAATCCTTCTCCACCACACACTTCCGGTAGCCACTACCACTCTGGGGCTGGCAGCCAGGCTGTCCCTGGAGGAGCACAGTGCCTTTCTGCACTGTAGGGTCTGTGCTCCTGTGCCCACAGGAAGCAGAAAGTAGCAGAGAGTGCTCGGAAGCCCCTGAGCAGGGTCTGGTGTTAAGCTCTAAACCTTCTTAGATTAGATAATCCACACGAGGATTCTCACAGGAAATGGCCTCGTGGTCTCTGTGAACAGCTCTGCCCTTCGATGGCTATTTCTGCCTTTGGTTTTGATAAGATAGAATCTCAGTTAATCCGTTTCTCTGTTGGGCTCCTCTAAAACTTCTCCATAATCTTCATTATCTCCTACCTTGCGCTTTTGTTAGGACTCTACTGAGCCAGAGTCACCCAAGGCCTCGGCGGGGCTCTAAGCAGAGGGGATAAAACCCCAAGCAACTCAGAGTGTCCTGTGTTTGGGGACCAAGGTGGCTGTCATGTACCTAGCTGGACTCTCGGGCTCCTGAGTCGCAGGAAAACCCCAGCTCTCTAAAGAAGGCCCACGGCTACTCTGTGGGACCCGCCAGCAACAGGGAAGAACCCAGCTCCAGCTATCAGTGGGCCACGTGGGTTTCTGTACCAGGAATCAGCACTTCAGAATCTTAACAGGAATTTTGAGTGGTCTCTGTCTGAAACTGTAGATAGGTTCATCTTGCAGGTCACCTCCGATCCTGTACCCAGGGAGAGGAGGATCAACCAGGCCACTGTGTTTGAGGCCTCTCTGTTGTGGAAACAGCGCTCCACCAGGCATCTGAGACCTGGGCCATGTGTCATCAGGCAAGCCATGCCACCTCTCCGCATCTCAAGGTTTTTTTTTTTKTTTTTTTTTTT